TACTAACTCATTCAACATCAGTGCGCGGCGCAGGCATCTAGCTAGCTGGCGCAAGCATGATCATAATTGCATGCCATCACGCAATCAGCGCACATAAATCGCGCATCAAATAAATAAGTAATCAAACACAAATCAACACATCAACTAAATAAATCAACGAGCTAGCAAGAACACAATTCAAAAATGCACGAAGAAATAATTACTATTCTAGTCGGTTATTCGCATGGGACCAAGCGCAATGTCCAAGCTGATGAACTGTGATTGCACAAGGTAAGCCCAAGCTCCTGAGCTAACCGTTCTGGTGAGCAGTCTTCTTCGTGCTGCAAACACACACTACACAATGTGTCGTATCTCGTAACAAGTATTGTACCAAATCAAAACGAACACTAACAATACGCAATAGTAAACAATAATCAAAAACACTACGCAAAAAGCAAAGCAAGCAGCACCTAGCCAGGGAGACAAGCAGGAGTCACGGTCGCAACGAGATCTCGACGACACCCCAGAAGACCTTTCTCCGACACGATACACAACATTCTCCCCACCAAAGGGCTTCAACCACACTGATCACAAATCAAGACGAGATGGTGGTCGAACGGTACGACGAGATCGACGCGTAACTTGCGGTTCAACGTGCTCCTTCGCTACTTCCAACGGAACCAAGCGTTGAATGGGCCGTAGCATGGACGATTGGCCAACTTGGACTTTGGCCACCCTGCACTTGCCATCTCTTCCAGGATACAGCTCTGCGACCCTACCCAAGCGCCATGATTGCCGCTTCCGGTTGTCGTCGGCAATAAACACAACGTCGTTCACGACAAGCGGAGTTGACTTCGACCGATGATACTCACTGAGACGAATGAGATACTCAGACGACCAACGCTGGTTGAGGTGCTCGTAGACGGTGTGGACATACTTGACTCGAGCGGACAACTGCCGTGGATCGAGTGGTCTGTCAGACGAGGCAATACCGGTTGCAAAGATGTCTCCCAACATCATGGCTGGAGTCAGTGGCGACTCGTCAGCTACATCCGTAGAAACCGGAGTGAGGGGTCGAGAGTTGACGACTCTCTCGATCTCCGTCAAGACAGTGAACAGCTCATCTCGACTCAATGACGCTCGACCGAGAACCTTCTTCAAGGGAGCTTTCACACATGCCACCAGACGCTCATAGAACCCTCCATGCCACGGGGCAGATGGCGGATTGAAGAACCACGGGATTGCCACCTTGTCTGCGGCGGACTTGAACGTCGTAGCATTATCTGAACGTATACGCAGCGGCTTCCCACGACGGGCGATGAAACGACGCAATGCTAGCAGGAACACCTCTGTCGACAGGCTATCCACGAGCTCTAGGTGCACTGCGCGAGTAGTACCGCACACGAAGAGTGCGACCCACACTTTCTGAACATTTGATGAACTGCGCACGTACAGCGGACCTGCATAATCAATACCTGTGAGACCGAATGGCTGGTGGTGCTTCACCCTGTCTGAGGGCAACGGCGGCATCTCCTCAGCAGCAGTCTGTGCGCGAAATCTGCGGCAAACAATGCACTTCTCCGACACGCTACGAAGAAACCGACGAGCTCCGAGAATCCAGAACTGCTGTTGTAGAAACGCAAGCACGCTCTCTACACCCTGGTGCATTCGCTGAAGGTGAGCATCACGCAGAAACAACTCACTTAGATGACATCTGCCCAGGATGATCGGATGCTGAACCTCGTAGGACAGATCGCTCTCCTGCAGACGACCACGAACTCTGAGCAAACCAGCTTCATCCAGAAACGGAGACAACTTGAACAGCTTCGAACCCTTCTTCAGTGGCTCCTTGCTCCGCAACTGGGACAACTCCTTGGGGAAGCATTGCTCTTGGATGGCGCGAAACATCACAGACTCAGCAGATGGAATCAATTCTGCACGCGAAACACCCTTGTGTCGCCATGACAGCATACTTGCGACCAAACCGCGAGCTCGTTGCCACTTGGAGAACTTCTCCCACGGCCAAACAACTGGAGTGTCAACCTCCACAGCCGACACGCGTGCTTCGGTGACGGACTCATTGGTGCTCTGAAACGAGATGACTGGTGGCCACTGAGACTCATCGCTCAACCATGACGGACCATGCAGCCACATCTCCTTCTGCAAGTCACACACTGGGACACCACGCGAGACAAGATCTGCAGGGTTGCTAACTCCTGGACAGTGACGCCATTCTACTTGCAGCTTCTGCGAAACTTCTTGCACTGCAGCAACTCGATTAGCAACATACGTCTTCCAGTGATACGACGGCTTTGAGATCCAGTGCCATGTGGTTAGGCTGTCTGTCCACCCCACAATCCTTTCAATTGGCACTCTCAATTCATTGACGACAAAGGACAACATCTTCACGCCAAGACACACAGCCGACAATTCCAGACGCGCAAGAGTGGGACGTACAACAGGTGCAACCTTCGCCTTCGCACACAACAAAGAAGACGTCAAACCGGACACAACATAGAAACAACAGCCATAGCCCTTCTCGGATGCATCGGAGAATACATGCAAAGTGACTGGAGCATCTGGAGTACACCCGATCCATCTGGGGATTTTAACGGAAGAAAGCGCTGCGAGCTCTCCCCACCATGAAGCACATCGGACAGCCAAATCAATAGGGAATGGGTCATCCCAACCACCGCCGAGCTTCCAACTCTCTTGCAACATCATCTTGCCTGGCACAACTGCGGGTGACGCCCAACCTAGCGGATCGAACACAGCGGCAACACAACGCAACAACGCACGACGCGACCAACCAGACACTTCCTTGGGACACTCAACATCACCGAGCGCAGCCACCGAAATACAATCTGACTCGGTGTTCCACACAATACCCAGTGCCTTGGAACCAGCCTCGGGGTCTGAGGTCATCGTGTTCCCTCGCCACTTCCGCAACTCCATGCCTGCTCCCTGCAAAACATTAACGCTATACTCCTGCAGCTTTTCAGCATCCGCACAGCATGGCAAGCTAGAAACGCAATCATCAACATAAAAACTACGCAGCAGCAGCTCTATGATATCACGCTCAGCAGCAGAAGCAGACTCGAATGCACTATCGAGATGAAAGCGCAGCACAGCACTAAGTATGAAAGGAGAACAATTCACTCCAAAAGGCAGCTTCTTTAAACGCCAGATACACATTTCTTCGCTACCTATCTCAGGCCAAACAAAACGCAGATATGGCCTATCTTCTTCACGCATTCCGATCATAAAAAAAGCCTTGCGAATATCGGCTTGTACAGCACATTCATACTCACGGAACCTGAGGAGGATACCAGTGAGATCCGGTAGGAGTGATGGCCCGGGATCGACCATGTCGTTTAGGGATGGTGCTCCGGTGCAGGCGGCGGATGCATTGAAGACGACCCGTGTCTTCGTCGTTGAGGCGTCGCTACGGAATACGGCATGATGCGGCATGTAATAGCCGGCTTCCTCCGGATGCGGTTCCTTTTCAATGGCATCCAGCTTCAAGTACTCAGTGATGAGGACGTCATCATACGCTAGACGTTGACCTCGTCTCTGTAGCTGCTTCAGCAGTGAGTGTGCCGCTGCCATCGCTTGGTTTAGGTTGGCTGGCGGACGCTTCTCAGATCGCCATAGCAATCCCACTTGGTAATGAGGGCCTTGCCGCTCTATCGGGAAGTCCGGTAACGTCTCAGCTATTTCCGGCACCTCTTCCATCTTCCACAGTCGGTCAAGTTCAATACAACTCACACTGACGGTCGCTGACTTGGTTTCACGATTAGCCGGTCCTGACAGCACCCAGCCTATTTCAGTGTGCCAGGCCGTCTCTCCATTGATTTGCTCCTTGCGGAGAAGGAACTCATTGCAGTAGTCAGCTCCAATCAGCATGTGCACTTCGCTTGATCCGGCCTTTGTCGAGTCATCAGACAGCTGCAATCCCTGTGACTGCCAACGTGCAATTGTGCTGTCTGCTAGCGGATCGAATCGGAGACCTAGCGACTTCTTTTGCCAGGCATTGACGGAAATGGACTTCGTTGCACCCTTGATGGTGACACGGTACCTGTCCATCTTTTCAAACTTCGGCTCCACGTCAAACGCCTTCAGCCTGACAGTTTGCGATCCAAGGTGTGCCGGTTGCAGCGAGTTCACCAGTGGCGCGGTGATGAACGATGCCTGCGCACCTGGGTCGATGAATATGCGTACACTGGCCTTTCGGCTAGGTCCTTGTACCTCAGCCACGCCGGTCATCAAGTGCACGCTGTTTGCACTACATTCATACGTACCGACTT